CCATCGTCGTCGTCTTCATCGTCGCCGCCGGTCGCCGTTGTTGTTTGTCGCATTTCCACTTCGAAACGTGTAGTAACGTCCGTCTCCTTTATCGCACTAAAATGCCATACTCTCACCTTTCTCACTTGTTATTTGTCTAATAAATCGCCTTTCAAATCAAGTCGTTCGGTTTAAATCAGTACTGCCACGGGTCGTAGATGACTAGGGCGCAGATCGGCTTGGTGGGGGCAACATGAGTACTCAGCGAAACCTGCGCAGGCCACCTTGTGAAGACTGCCAATCCCTGTGACCAAAGTGGCTCACTCGAGCACGTTTGCAGCTTTACAGGAGTTTACAGGTCTCACAAAGGTGCTATCATGAACTGACAGAATAAACGGCGCAAGAGCGCCCCCTCCAAGCTGAACAGCACAGGTACCCGCGCTAGAGTAACAGTAATGTACGCTATTCAAGAACTGCCTGAAGTCATGGAAAATATAATATATCAAAAATATCAAACTGATAAGCTCCATAGCTCGGATATGGAACGGGCGTGGCTGCGTACTTCACTGGCTTGGTGGCGGTTGGTAAGCCGTGTTCCCACGAGTTACGTAAGCACGCCCTACCCATCTCCGGGATATGCAGTGTACATTTCAGTAAAACAGTCATAAAAACGCACGAAGGATTCGAGTGGGGATGCGAGCATCCGAGATGCGGCGTCGCACTCAACCCACAGGTTAGCTAGTTGACTCGACCAGTGCCTCAGTTTGAATGTGTCACGGCGGCTTATATCAAGTTAGGCCGTCAAATAAAGGATATGAGATGCAGGCTGCCACGATATAATTGATTTGACGCAAAAAAGAGTGCAGTTTATCTTGGTAGGAGCAGCACTGGTATACTGCAAGCCTGCACAAGTACCCTGTGAATTCTTGTTATCAAAGTGGCTTACATGTACCATCACAGTTTCACAAGAGTTCACAGGTCTTACCAAAATTAGACGCGTTAGCCAACATGTACCATCGAAAGGGTCTAAGGAAGCGCCCCTTCCAAGTAAACGGCGTTCAAAAGTGGTATGTTGAGCCAACGTGCTGAAAGTACTATCTTTGAGCGCGATGACGTGATGTGGATGCCATGAACTACGCCCAAGGGATTTATGGTTAGTTCGCCTAAACAGGAGCTCGTTCCCTCAGGCCTGGTCAAAAATCGCCCCTTAGCACCCATATCGAGATCTTCAGGACTTCGGATGCTGGCGCAGTTCGGCGACGGAGGACGAGGGGGGGGGGCATTTTGTACTAGGAAGTTCCGGTTTACAAGTCTCACTCTGGCGAAACCTGTGAACTCTTGTGAAGCTGGAGCAAGGTCGTCAAGCCATCATGTTAAAACCTGTCAACTCGAGAAGAGGCTGTCTAGATAGGTCGACACGTCGATGGGAAGTAGCAAAAGTGCAAAATGTCTCCCCACCCCCTCCCGCCGCCAAACTGCGCCCTGATGCCTTGCAAACTCTCCAAACTGTCTGTGAATCATAATACATTCCAAACTTGGGTAAATAAACCCTCTCCATCGCGACCACGTGGTGACTCTGGTCGTCTGCGCTTCATTAAGACTGAAAACCTAGGGGGAGAAAGGAATGAGTAGCATGGTTGAGAGGTGCAGACATGTAGTTCTAACCTCACCCTGGTTGAGAGGTGCAGACATGTAGTTCTAACCTCACCC